AGATGTGTATGAGAGACAGTGTATATACCGATACATATAAATTCATTTTAATTAATATTTTATGTTTTAACGATAACTGGTGTGAAATTAAATATTTGTAAAGTAATAGATTCTTCATATGGAATCGATTGTCATAAAACCGATAATATGATATTATGATTTTCATACTCGGAAATTAATACTCGTAATGGAATCAACCACGATGTATATTAAATTGTTGGTTTTTTAATCGATATAATTAGTTTGTGAACTCATTTGGTGTATTGTCGATAATACGTGAGTGTAGGCAGTGGTTTGTTATCGGGGATTTGCATACATCTCTTTAAAATTGTGTATTTACACGTCTTTTCCTTCGGGTGTCTATAAAACGAAGACCGAAGACCCAAAAACGAAGACCCCTATTTTTTCTATTATATTTTGATGATAATGAACCTGGCTGTCATAAAATCAAAATTACGAAATTTTGTGGGCGTCTGTTTGTGAAATATTCAAGGGTCTTCGTTCTATAGACACCCTATATGGGTGTCTACAAAACGAAGACCGAAGACCTGAAAAACGAAGACCTTCAATTATTTCACAATTATCTTATTGTAATTATTTCAAAATCATCATAAAACAGTTGCCAAGTACGTACTTCATTAATTCATTGGAATAAAATTAGGAATATCAAGAAATACTTAAAGGTCTTCGTTTTATAGACCGAAGACCCAAAAACGAAGACCCCTATTTTTTTCTCTTTTGTTTTGATGATAATACACCTGGCTGTCACAAAATCACAATTACGAGGTTATTTGAACTTTAGTTTGTGAATTATCAAAGGTCTTCGTTTTATAGACACCCATATATGGGTGTCTACAAAACAAAGACCGAAAAACGAAGACCCACATTTTTTTTCTCTCAATCGTGATGAAAAATAATGTTTTTAAATCACTTCATGCTATGTATATTTTTTTTAGCACATTATTTCCTGAATCGGGAGTCAATTTAATTATTTACTTTTTATTCCAGTTCCAAAGCGGCAGCCATAAGCGCTGCTGAGGTATAGGTGGGATGAGCTTAAGGACAATAATTACGAAACATTCTGGATTACAATTCGTCCTTATACACTGCCGGTGAATATATCTAACATTACAATGGTATTAGTTTACCACCCCAGAATCTAATGACTGGAATATGACATGCCATATTATCCACTTCCTTCACTTTATTTGTAACAGACACCTGGATACCGGTTTTGTTGCCACAGGAGACTTCAGCAGGATGAAGGACCATCAGCTTGCCCGGTACCCACTCAAACAAATTGTTAAGGGGTTTACAAGAGAGCAGGCCACTCTTGACTTAATATATACATTATTCAAGCACCCCTTGGTCTTTCGGATCATAATGTGATATTGTAGTCACCCAAGAACAGTGTTCCAAAACCACCTATTACTGACAAGTTATTTAACAAGCGTCTGGTTCACCAATCCTTTAAGGAGGAATTTGCAGAGGATCTAGCTGGCACCAAATGGCAGGAACTTTATAAATTAAATAACTGTGGTAGCCAATTTACTTTCTTCCATCAACGTATCCACTTTTTAATGGATAAACACTTCCCCATCATATCTTGCCAGAAAAGCTCTGTGAATAAACGTTGGGTTACTGATAGCTTTTTAATAAGCGCCAAGCTGTTTTTAAGCGGGAGGGTAAATCAAATGAGTTTTAAAAATCCAGAACGTTGTTAATAGATTATCTAAATTTTTGTATGAGAGGTATTAGAACAACAATTTACGTAAAATCCATTGTAATGGTGCTCGTACATGGTGGAACGAGGTAAAGACATTTCTCAATATCAATAAGGAGTCTAATTCTGGTCCAAAAACGCTTGCTAATGATCTTACTCAGGGTGATCTATCATTGCTATGTAATGGCATTGACTCCTTTTTCCAATCTCTTACATCGGGCTTCAAGGCGTTAGAACATGTACCTATGCATGAGAGAAATGCTGTTAATACCTCCTCGCATCTCATCATTGAATCATTTGGTGTTGAACAGTCACTTAAGAAATTCTCCTCAATTAATAAGGCAAAGGGCCCCGATGATATCCCACCATGTATTTTAAAGGAATTTTCTGACATCCTTACAAAGCCTTTATGTGCAATTGTTAATTCTAGTTTAAGGGAAGGGTATATCCCGGATCTAAACATCTATTGAAAATGACTTAAGACCCATTTCGCTAACATCGTCTGCTGTCAAAGTCTTCGATTATGCTGGCCTCACACGTCGGAGGATGTCCGGGACCGCTATCCAGCTAGTTAACCAACAATCAGTCACTGCAATTCAACAGTCACAAATACGACTTTGTATGCGGTAACTTAAATATATAAATGAAAAGGCATATCAATAAGCACAAGCTAGCGTAAACGCCACCACATCCACACAATAACGTGTATATCTGAGGGCCACCACACCCACATAAATGAATAAATCAGTACGATATAAATATTAACATAGGGCTGAGTTGTGTAATAAAACGTCATCACTAAACGTCTATAACAAGTCTATGTATAAGCCAGGATCTAGACAGACAGCTATAAGCCTATGCCCTAGTAACTGTGATACTGTACATTATATAGAATATTGGTAATCGACAATAGTAATATAATATTATCCGATATTATGATCCGATATAAACGTTAAACATAACTGTGATTTTAGCAAGTTATAATAGTTTAAATCATACAAAGATTGATAAATTACTCACAAAGACTGTTCTTGTTACAGGCTACATTCAGAGCGGCAGCCAAGAGCAGTTTGATCAAACGAACAAGGTACCAATATCCGAGTACAGGAACATTCATTATGTAACATAACATATCAATATTTGGACGTCTGCCGGGGACTCCCTGCTGGGTGTGCCCCCTGGAGCACCAAATAAGGGGCTGAAAAATGGGCTAGATCATGTTTTGGAGATACCACATAAAACCAACTTAAAATTAACAAACATACTCTACTAAGTATAAAAAATGTATTGCCAGACAGATTATCCGCTGGATATGTCCCGCCAGACACCCCCAAAAGGGTCCTAAATTTGGGCTAGATCATGTATTGGAGATACCGCTTAAAATCAACTTATAATTAACAAACATACTCTACTAAGTATAAAAAGTATATTGCCAGACAAATTATCCGCTGGATATGTCCCGCCTGACACCCCCGAAAGTTTCCCCCTGTGGACACTGTGATATAATTGGGCTAGATCATGTATTGGAGATACCACTAAAAATCAACTTAAAATTAACAAACATACTCTACTAAGTATAAAAAATGTATTGCCAGACAAATTATCCGTTGTATATGTCCCGCCAGACACCCCTAAAAGGGTCCTTAATTTGGGCTAGATCATGTATTGGGGATACCACATAAAATCAATTTAGAATTAACAAATATCCTCTACTAACTATAAAAAATGTATTGCTAGACAAATTATCCACTGGATATGTCCTGCCAGACACCCCTAAAGTTTTCCCCCTATGGAATCATCAGCGTAAGCCCCACTTCATAATTTGATTAAGCTGGCCCCACTGCACTTACTCAGCGCCGTCAGGTCAAAATTAAAGAAGTTGGATGTATCTTCTTTTTGAGATGACAATTAATTACGTAAGTATTTGTAATAAAACTAAATAGAGAGCGTAATTAATTTGAAATATTGTAGGATAACTATGACAAAAGTATTATTTTTTTTTAATCCAAAATGGATATAATACTATACTTTTATATTTAAGGTTTGATAGGTACATTAGGCTGTGTTAATTGATACTGTTGGTCAAGATAACATGTGAATGGTCATAATATTATGATCATTTATCATTGCATCTGACATGTTAGAATGTCTACAAGTCTCATTCACATAACTGCTCATGATTCGTGTAGGTTATTTTCTCCATGAAGAAACCATTGATTACAGTGTTATATAGGCTATATATATATATATAAAATTAGTCTACTTTAACATTAATACATACCTGATTAGATGTCTCACATATTTCAGTATCTGTAGTGATGTTATCATCCATTGTGGATATGCCTGTTGCAAAAAACAAAAGCAAATTAGCATACATATTAGCGTGTGGTAGGCACCTTTTCAATGTTTAATAAAAAAAAATATAATAATTTTGTAAATGAAGTTTAATTGAAATAAATTAACTTTACCATTGATACATACCTGATTGGATGTGTCACAATTATTACGGGTGTGTATATTGCCTATATATATATATAACTTCATACAAAATTATTATATTTTTATAACTTTGTAATAACCACACATTAATATGTATGCTCTTTGCTTTTGTTTTAGGCATCAGACACATCCACCATGGACACTGATTGTGAAGTCAATATGGTGTGCATCATTTGCAGGGGAAGTCAAGGTGACTCACTGAAAATGTTTGTGGAAAGAACATGGTGTTCATTCAAGAGAGCAGCAGAGTTGAGACTTGCACTAAAGTCGGATCGCTACAGAGATATAACTACAGAAGTCAATTTGCAGCAACATTCAGACAATGCAAGGTACCACTCGAAATGCTACAGAAAGTACACAGCCGTCATAAGGCCACCAACTGGTTCTCCATCAAAGAAGCCAAAAACCCGACGCAGAAGTTTGATGCCACCATCAGATGAGAAAGGGTTATTAAAGGGATCCTGCATATTTTGTATTTTGCGACGAAAAACCATTAACCATAAGGAGGAGCCATTGTCAGATTGTCTTACGAAAGATGGTTGTGATGCCATATTTAAAGCAGCTCCCAAAAGTAGCAATGAGCGGGTAAAGGCATTAGTTCAAAGTGGGGTTGATTTAATTGCTAAAGAAGCCCAATATATCACAAATCGTGCCGCCGAGAGTTTTTTAGTGAAGTTGATGATTCAGAAGCCGATCCAAAAACTGAAACAGTTTCAAATAGGCAACTGCATTCCATTACTTTTGGAACAATATCAGCCCTAATTGAGATCGATGTCATTGGGAATTGCAAAGCAATGTTGTCTGCTTCGATTCTTGTAAGAATCATCTTATTAAGTGTAGTTGTTTAGAAATGTTTTTAAATAGCAGAGAAGAGAAGAATTCTATTAGACGGACAATGTGAATAATAACTTGGCAGGAATTTCTCAATTAGTATTGGTTACTTACCTAATAACTTTTTTTGTCTAAAATGTCAGTCTGCGACCGTGGAATTGCCAATATTTAAATTAAAACGCACTAAAAAAGACTGCTTCCTACCTGCCGATAGGACAAAGTGGTTAATGAAACTTCCATTACACTTGCTCTCATGACTTATAGCTGCTTAGCAGTCACGCCCAGTAAAACAATGTTTCTAGTGCATTTGGACTTCTTATCAATGAAAAGAAAACCATGGCTAACATTAGTTTTGTAGGGATGATTTTAATCTTTGTTTACCAAACTTAAAATTTATATTGACCTTTAAAAAATGACTGAGAATCGTGTGGATCTGTTTTGATTTGACTTGCATACAGATTGCTGGCTGGCTTTAACATGGAATTCGTTGGAATTTGGAACGAGTACCCTGATTTGTAAACTAGATAATTTTCAGGTAGATGTTCTTTTCGGAGGCTCTGGTCACACGACTATTTGAAAGAAGGGACATTAACTTAAAAAAATGCATTTATAAATGTACCAAACAATTATCAGGAAACAACAAAGAACCTTACATCACTTCATACAGTTGATTTCTACTGGTTGCTTCTGTCCGAAGTTGATAAGCCATTGCCACTTTTCCCTGGATTTTATTTACAGTTCGTCAAGGATGACCTACCACAACATAAAATTATGTACATGGATCCAATATCGGCCCACCAACCAGAAACGATGTTGTTCGTGAAACCATGAAAAGAAGTATGAACGTTGCCATTGAAACTCGTCAAGAATATGGTGTTGTTACCTACGACCTAGCTGTGGCTCTGTCTGCTCTCAAGGCATAATCAATCCAGGCATTGGAAGCACCTCTGTTCGATAAGCTTCTCATCTTGCTTAGAAACTTCCATTTGGAGTCAGCCTTCTATGGTGCTATTGGGACATTCATAAATGAAAGCGGTGCCGAATACCTGTTGACAGAGTATGGGATACTGGCTGAAGGATCGCTGATGGGTTTCATCCGTGGCAAATATTACAATCGATGTGTCCGAATACATGATATCCTTGCTCTTGCTATGATGGATCTGGACTAAAAACCGACAAGAGCAAACTACTCAACAAGCTCGAGACACTACAGGATGGATATACAGAAACACCACAGGATGGATATACAGAAACACCACTTCCACTGATTGATGTGACGTTGATTGATGGTGGACTCTTGATCCACTCTTTCCTATCGGCAATTGGGAAAATAAAATCCTATGGAAATCTTGCCAGGACACTCTTATCCTATGTCTGTAGCAGCCGAGGGAATGAGATTCATATATTGTTTGATACATATCGTCCTATGTCGCTGAAGGGGAGTGAGAGAAGACTACGTGGAGCCAATGACCATCCATTTGTCATTGCTGGACCAGAGCAAGCGCCTAGAGAGGGCTGTCATAAGTTGCTACAAAATGGGATGTTTAAGGATCAGTTGGCAAAGTTTCCCCTGAAAGAATGGCAAGAAGATCACTATGGTTCCATTCTATCAAACAAGACGCTGATTGTGTCCCATGGTGGCAACTGTATCTGGCTCTCTTTTAATAAGCTTGATTTGAAGATGAATGTTGAAAATCCAGCTAATCAGCAGGGTAGTCATGAGGAAGCAGATACTCTCATTGCATTCCATGCATCTGGCACCACTGGAAATATAATCATTAGAGCCTCTGATACTGATGTCCTAATTATTCTCATTGGAATGCTAGGAAGACAGCTGACAAATGACAGACCTACATCATACAGTCGCATTATTATGGATTGTGGATCGGGCAATAGCCGTCGGTTAATTGATGTCAATAGCATTGTCACCGCCCTAGAGTCAAAGCAGGAAGGATTAGCTGCAGCCATGCCAGGTCTTCACGCATTTACTGGCTCATACTTCACCGCATTCTACAGAAAAGGTAAATTGAAGCCACTTGAGGTTCTCGTAAAAGACACAGAAGGAACACTTATTCAGTTTTTCAGCAAACTGGCTTCTGAAGATGAACCAGACCAGAGAAAAGCAGAAGAGTTTGTTTGTTCCTTGTATGGCTTGAAGGGTGATGTAAAAGATGTCAATGAGGCCAGGCTCATAAAACTGTGTCAGATGACGGGTAGACTGGATCAGGTACTATATCAGAAATCATTTCATATAGGAAGGAAATAAATACATATAACAGTAACCTAATAACCTAAACTACAATATCCCATTATAAATGTGCTTTTGTTTGTGGATTAACGTAAATAAGCATTAATTAAAAAATATTCCCAGTGGTGTGTGAGTTTTAAAATGAATTGCGCACATTGATAACTAATTTGTAGTCTAAATATCTATTTTGGCAATACACTTTTTATATTTAGTAGAGTATTTGTTAATTCTAAGTTGATTTTTAGTGGTATCTCCAATACATGATCTAGCCCAATTATATCACAGTGTCCACAGGGGCAACTTTTGGGGGTGTCTGGCGGGACATATCCAGTGGATAATTTGTCTGGCAATACACTTTTTATACTTAGTAGAGTATGTTTGTTAATTCTAAGTTGATTTTATGTGGTATCTCCAATACATGATCTAGCCCAAATTTAGGACCCCTTTGGGGGTGTCTGGCGGGACATATCCAGCAGATAATTTGTCTGGCAATACACTTTTTATACTTATTAGAGTATGTTTGTTAATTTTAAGTTGATTTTTAGTGGTATCTCCAATACATGATCTAGCCCAATTATAACACAGTGTCCACAGGGGGAACTTTCGGGGGTGTCTGGCGGGACATATCCAGCGGATAATTTGTCTGGCAAAATACTTTTTATACTTAGTAGAGTATGTTTGTCAATTCTAAGTTGATTTTAAGTGGTATCTCCAATACATGATCTAGCCCAAATTTAGGACCCTTTTGTGGGTGTCTGGTGGGACATATCCAGTGGATAATCTGTCTGGCAATACACTTTTTATATTTAGTAGAGTATGTTTGTTAATTTTAAGTTGGTTTTATGTGGTATCTCCAAAACATGATCTAGCCCATTTTTCAGCCCCTTAACAATATACAGACTAACAATTGTTTTCCAATTTCAAACGATTCTTCAGAATTTTTCTCATTCCTATAGATTAAAACTTTGTATGTATTATTTTCCTAATTGAGCTAATTACTCTGACCTTGTGTGTTAAATACTCCTTTAAATTATCAAGTAAATGTTTCGTACACATTATAGGCCTATGTTCAAATGTATCTATAAATGCCTTGAGGATTACAACCTCATCGTCTGTTCGATAGTTAACCTTGCAAAACCTTTAACTCCTATTGATCAAACTATATGTTAAAAAAAGATTAAAATTCAGAAAATGCTAGTTGGTCCCTTTTATGATGCAGAAACATCGGTCCTAAAAAAAAAACTGGATGATCACTATTATTATTTATTAAATATGGTTTTTTTTAAATAATTATAACATCAAAGTTTTAAGTATTTAATAACTAAAACGTTCTATATCGAACAATTGATCATTAATAAATAATACAAATGCAGGTACTTGCCCTTTAACAAATACCAGGGTTCCCTGAAAATTACAACCGTTTGTACAAAATCATTATCAATTAACATATTAAGACATTAATATACTTCAGCTGCATAGATTGATTTAAAATATTGTAAACCAGTTTCATAATTTTTCTATTTTCTTAACAAGTCTTGATTGTCCATATTTTAGGACGGTTGTTTGAATGAACACGGTTCCCTAATGCTAACTAATACCTGGGGATCTGTTCTTATATACGCCTGAATTGCCATAGGCTTTAGTAGTTCATAAATCACCTTTATATTCATGAAGAGCTACATATTTCCCATTTATTTTATCAGTTATGTTTGATATTTTCCTTTCAAATGTACAGTGTTTCTTTTTAGCATAATAACGGTGAATAATAACTATTGATGTATCATCTACATTTAACTATGTATAACCATGCACTCACCTTTTCATAATATTTTTCACCTTATTTATTGACGTTAAATTATTAGCATTATGAACTAAAAAATGTTTTTATCATGTGAACTTCGATGCCAGGCACCACAATTATCAAATGAATACATTACTTCCATCGTTTTGTACATTTCTCTCAACGACAAAATACACATCGTCCTTTATGTCTTTGGGTACATTATCTAATAGTATTTAGGAATTCATCTCGTTCCCAACATCTTGTACAGATAACGAAACAAAATTTACAACCCCAATTAGGCCAATATTAATTGAAGAACCATAATCACCAAATTGATAAGTGTTGTCATTTCCATCATCATCTGTTGTTCCATCGGTGTCGTCACCAGTTTCAGTATCATTATCTGCTCCATCGCCGTTGGCATTATCTATTCCATCGTTGCCGTCATTATCTGTTCCATTGCTGTCGTCATTATCTACTCCACCGCTATCGTCATTATCTGTTCCATCGTTGTCCACATAACTAGCATCGCTATCTGCTTCATCATTATCTGGTCCAATGTTGACATTGCTCCTCTATCGTTGTTGTCATATCGTTATCTTCTCTATCCTTGTTAGCTGCACCCCGTTATCGTTATTTGTTTCGTCGCTGTCATTATGTACACCATTGCCATTACCAGCTTCCTTAAACACCACTATAGAAAAACAATTAATTATTGTATAGATTTACTGTATTGTCTTGTTTATTTTTATTTTTAAATTCAAATTAAATAAACAAAATATGATATTATTGTTGCTGTAAAATAGGCACTTGATAAACATAATTTTGTATTTATGTACACCTTAAAATAATAATAATAATAATATATAATATAATATTATTATTAATATTTATTTATATTTATATTTTTTTATTAATTATTTATTTATTATTATTATTATTTATTATTCTTATTATTATTGTTCGTTGTTATGCGAAAATATTTAATTTAACGATTAGTTTCTCTATATTAGTCCGCGACCAAAAGAGTATGAATTGATTAATTTTACTAGGCCATATATTTTTGAATTCATAAAATTCACTTTATATTAAATATTCATTGACTGAATGTACTGAATAAATTTGAAATTTATAATGCATTATTTACTTATTAATTTCATAATTAAAAGATGGTCATGACTTGAACCCAGACCCTCTTGGAAATTTACCATAATTAATTTCTCTATGTCAGTCAGTGACCAAAGCTTATGAATTAATTTTACTAAACCAGATATTCTCAACTTTATATAAATTAACCTACACTAATTATCAAGCCTCGGTTCTTATCAGTTAACATTTGTTTATGTATTTCCCAATTTAGAGAAGGTTTTAAGGATTAAATTAAATAATTTCATAATCTTTTCTGCACTTTTATGTACATTTTAATGCGTCAGTCTGCGACCATCAGTCCACGACAGTACTTAAAATGGTATTACATGGTTAAGATATACGAATATTTAATATTCACTCTAAATTTTTTGTGCAAGATGTTTTATTAGGTGTTCATCATCTTATTAAGTGTAGTTGTTTAGAAATGTTTTTAAATAGCAGAGAAGAGAAGAATTCTATTAGACGGACAATGTGAATAATAACTTGGCAGGAATTTCTCAATTAGTATTGGTTACTTACCTAATAACTTTTTTTTGTCTAAAAATGTCAGTCTGCGACCGTGGAATTGCCAATATTTAAATTAAAACGCACTAAAAAAGACTGCTTCCTACCTGCCGATAGGACAAAGTGGTTAATGAAACTTCCATTACACTTGCTCTCATGACTTATAGCTGCTTAGCAGTCACGCCCAGTAAAACAATGTTTCTAGTGCATTTGGACTTCTTATCAATGAAAAGAAAACCATGGCTAACATTAGTTTTGTAGGGATGATTTTAATCTTTGTTTACCAAACTCAAAATTTATATTGACCTTTAAAAAATGAATGAGAATCGTGTGGATCTGTTTTGATTTGACTTGCATACAGATTGCTGGCTGGCTTTAACATGGAATTCGTTGGAATTTGGAACGAGTACCCTGATTTGTAAACTAGATAATTTTCAGGTAGATGTTCTTTTCGGAGGCTCTGGTCACACGACTATTTGAAAGAAGGGACATTAACTTAAAAAAATGCATTTACTGATGTTAATGTTTACTTGCGTCACTAATTTTTTGCGTATTTTATGATTTATTTTTGATAAATAAAAGTGGTTTTTACACCACAAGAGATAAAAAATTGTTTCTAGTGAAAATCATATTCTATTAGTCATTGACAGATACTGGCGTTCGGAGATATCAAAAAGAAACTTCCAAATCAGCACTCGCGGCATACATGTACAACATTGAGGCCGGGTCATTGTCCAACCTCTGCCACATGAATGGCCATGTTATCGCTGTTTCATTGGCCATAATGTCTTTAGGGCTGGCATACATCAAACAGATAAAGATATTTCATTACAATATTTCAAGTACAGTAATGATTCTAACATAATAGCAGTATTTTTCAAAACCAAACATTGCTGGGGATATTGCTCGAAAGAAACAGTTGTCATCACCCTGTATGTTTCGAGTATAGGTGCAGTATTCGTCTGTCTGATGAAAAAGAAGCTTCCAAGCCTGTACATCTATGTAGAAGTTATGAATTGGTTCAAATTTAAACAATACATGCATATATATATATATATATATATATTTAATATTTTAAAGATTAAAAATTATTAAAATACATTGTATAATGCTGATTTTTTTACTAATGCATTTCTGAGTTTTACCCAAATGTAACATAATAAAGTATAAATCGAATAAGACCTTTGGCGAAGAAACGTTATATTGCTGGAATAATCCTTTCTGAGATTCAAAAATGTTTGTCCATTTAGAATACGTTGCAGAGCATATTGCCTGTCATACAGTCCATCACATCCTTTCGGCTTCACAGTCTTGGGTCCACGCTGCTCTAAAATAGAAATGTCGAGCAGTAAATTGCGCAGTAAATCTTACGTGTAACCTTAGTTCTATTAATAGAAAATGTAATGCACTCCGGATATTAAAATTCTTCCTTCTGAACATTGCACTTTTTGCACCTCTGGCGTTAGTAGGTAATGGGTTATTTCATTATATCTCGTTTAACAGGGGGTTGCTAAACTTCCAGCACCCGCGGCCCCTGGGTTCTTCATACGTACGAATATTATGCGTCACAATCATCAGATTTAAAAGGAGACTGGAAATTACTATCATTAAAGAATATTATCAGGTAAAGTGGGTGACACTAGAAACAAAACTAAAGGATTTCTATTCCTCATATTAGTCCCAAATATCGACTAAATTATGTAAATTTCATTTCATCATTTATTTGGTCATTTAACAACAACAAAAAGAGAGCGACAAAAAAAAAGCTGAAATTTTAAACCAAGGACAACCAGAGTGAACCAAGTCACTGTAGCAAAGACGGTTTACCCAACCCCAAATTCAGCAACACATTAAAACCTCAAACAAGAAACATTACAGCGAATCAAAATAAAAAGAAACCATACGAAGAAAAGAGGATGGGCTTTCTAGAACTGCAGCATTGGTTAACAATCTAGAGAGCTGGTCCCAGACACGAGGCAACCTGATGGCTACCGAGTTGAAAAATGCTTGGATCCTAAATGCTTGGGTCCTTGATGCTTGATGACAGAAACACCAAGGCAATTTAACAGAAGGACGCACATCTCGGGACATCAAAGGTTATAACTCTGGCATCGACA